TATCCCCCATAAAACTAGATTCTGAAAAAAGGTCGCATATAGAGTTCAATAGCAGCACTTCCCCAGTAATGTGACCAGTCAATCAATAGATAAGTGCTAGAGAAAGTACGAGGACTTTCCAATCATGCTTAATGAAAAAAGCTTCCCTGAATACAAAAATTAATCACACAGCAAAGACTCGCCATATGAAAATGTAGAATTTGGTGCAATTAAATAACAGCATTGGGGGAATGCTCTAAGTATATTATATGCTTGCATGAAAATGACCTTATGTAACCCTGTGTAATAAAAGAAAAATAAATTAAAAATAAAACACAAACATAATCAAGATCCTATATAAATAATTTATATATATACACAGAGACACACACACACACATATGCTTTGTTTTTCAACAAAGAGTTTTTCTGTGTGGCCCTGGCTGTCCTGGAACTTGCTCTGTAGACCAGGCTGGCCTTAAACAGAGATCTGCCTGCCAGCTCTAAAATATTTTAAAGATTTGTTTATTTCCATTTGGTATACAGGTGTTATGTATGTATGTATGTATGTATGTGTGTGTGTATGTGTGTGTGTGTGTGTGTGTGTGTGTGTGTGTGTGTGTGTGTACCACATGTGTACCTGGTGCCCAAAGAGGCCAGAGGAGGGCATTAAACACCCTGGGGCTGGTTTTACAGTTATGAGCCACCATGTGGATGTTAGGAACTAGTAGATCCTAGGTACTCTGGAAAAGCAGTAAGTAACCCTAACCACTGAGAAATCTAGATAAACGACAAACAGAAGATTCTTGATGCATAAGAGCTCTTGCAAATCAATAAGAAAAGCATCAGGTATAAATGAAGATAAGGGATCAAGAATAGTTCATGGAAACATAAGAGTTATAGACCAATAAGCAAGCGAAATATGCATTCAGGCTTACTAAGAATAGAAAAGGTAATACAAGGGTCCTACCTAAATATAATAAAAGCTATTTACAGCAAGCCAACAGCTAACATTAAATTAAATGGAGAAAAACTCAAAGCCATCCCACTAAAATCAGGAACACGACAAGGATGTCCACTCTCGCCATACCTCTTCAATATAGTGCTTGAAATTCTAGCAATAGTAATAAGACAACATAAGGAGATCAAGGGGATTCATATTGGAAAGGAAGAAGTTAAGCTTTCGTTATTTGCAGATGATATGATAGTGTACATAAGCGACCCCAAAAATTCTACCAAAGAACTCCTACAGCTGATAAACAGCTTTAGTAACGTGGCAGGATACAAGATCAACTCCAAAAAATCAGTTGCCTTCCTATACACCAAGGATAAGGAAGCAGAGAGGGAAATCAGAGAAGCATCACCTTTCACGATAGCCACAAATAGCATAAAATACCTTGGGGTAACCCTGACCAAGGAAGTGAAAGATCTACTTGACAAGAACTATAAGTCTTTGAAGAAAGAAATTGAAGAAGACACCAGAAAATGGAAAGACCTCCCTTGCTCTTGGATTGGGAGGACCAACATAGTAAAAATGGCAATTCTACCAAAAGCAATCTATAGATTCAATGCAATCCCCATCAAAATCCCATCAAAATTCTTCACAGATGGGCTGGAGAGATGGCTCAGTGGTTAAGAGCATTGCCTGCTCTTCCAAAGGTCCTGAGTTCAATTCCCAGCAACCACATGGTGGCTCAAAACCATCTGTAATGATGTCTGGTGCCCTCTTCTGGCCTGTGGACATACAGACAGAATATTGTATACACAGTAAATAAATAAATATTTAAAAAAAAATTCTTCACAGATCTGGAGAAGACAATAATCAACTTTATATGGAAAAACAAAAAACCCAGGATAGCCAAAACAATCTTATACAATAAAGGTTTGTCTGGAGGCATTACCATCCCTGACTTCAAACTCTATTACAGAGCTACAGTATTGAAAACAGCTTGGTATTGGCATAAAAACAGAGAAGTCGACCAATGGAATCGAATAGAAGACCCTGACATTAACCCACAAACCTATGAACACCTGATCTTCGATAAAGGAGCTAAAAGTATACAATGCAAAAAAGAGAGCATCTTCAACAAATGGTGCTGGCAAAACTGGATGTCAATCTGTAGAAGAATGAAAATAGATCCATATCTATCACCATGCACAAAACTCAAATCCAAATGGATTAAAGACCTCAATATCAGTCCGAACACACTGAACCTGATAGAAGAGAAAGTGGGAAGTACTCTACAGCACATGGGCACAGGAGACCACTTCCTATGTATAACCCCAGCAGCACAGACACTAAGGGCATCATTGAATAAATGGGACTTCCTGAGGCTGAGAAGCTTCTGTAAAGCAAAGGACACTGTCACTAAGACAAAAAGACAACCCACTGACTGGGAGAAGATCTTCACCAACCCTGCAACTGACAAAGGTTTGATCTCCAAAATATATAAAGAACTCAAGAAACTAGACCGTAAAAGGCTAATCAACCCAATTATAAAATGGGGCACTGATCTGAACAGAGAATTCTCAACAGAAGAACTTCAAATGGCCAAAAGACACTTAAGGTCATGCTCAACTTCCTTAGCGATCAGGGAAATGCAAATCAAGACAACTTTAAGATACCACCTTACACCTGTCAGAATGGCTAAAATAAAAAACACCAATGATAGCCTTTGCTGAAGAGGTTGTGGAGAAAGGGGTACACTCACCCATTGCTGGTGGGAATGCAAACTTGTGCAACCACTCTGGAAAGCAGTGTTTCGGTTTCTCAGGAAATTCGGGATCAACCTACCCCTGGATCCAGCAATACCACTCTTGGGAATATACCCAAGAGAGGCCCTATCATACAACAAAAGTATATGCTCAACTATGTTCATGGCAGCATTGTTTGTAATAGCCAGAACCTGGAAACAACCTAGATGCCCTTCAACGGAAGAATGGATGAAGAAAGTATGGAATATATACATATTAGAGTATTACTCAGCAGTAAAAAACAAGGACTTCTTGAATTTTGCATACAAATGGATGGAAATAGAAAACACTATCCTGAGTGAGGTAAGCCAGACCCAAAAAGAGGAACATGGGATGTACGCACTCATATTTGGTTTCTAGCCATAAATAAAGGACATTGAGCCTATAATTCATGTTCCTAGAGAAGCTAAATAAGGTGAATCCAAAGACAAACACATAGGCATCCTCAGGAATATTAACCTTCATCAGGCGATGAAAGGAGACAGAGACAGAGACCCACACGGGAGCACCGGACAGAAATCTCAAGGTCCAAATCAGGAGCAGAAGGAGACGGAGCACGAGCAAGGAACTCAGGACCACGAGGGGTGCACCCACACACTAAGACAATGGGGATGTTCTATTGGGATCTCACCAAGGCCAGCTGGCCTAGGTCTGAAAAAGCATGGGATAAATCCGGACTAGCTGAACATAGCGGACAATGAGGAATACTGAGAATTCAAGAACAATTGCAGTGGGTTTTTGATCCTACTGCACGTACTGGCTTTGTGGGAGCCTAGGCAGTTTGAATGCTCACCTTACGAGACCTGGATAGAGGTGGGCAGTCCTTGGGCTTCCCACAGGTCAGGGAACCCTGATTGCTCTTCGAGCAGATGAGGGGGGGGGGACTCGATCGGGGGAGGGGGAGGGAAATGGGAAGCGGTTGTGGGGACGAGGCAGAAATCCTTAATAAATAAATAAATTAAAAAAAAAAAGAATAGAAAAGGTATACATCACAACAACCAAATGACACCAAGACACACTTCTCAAGTCTGCAAGCTGATAGTGACTGCTGGGACACAGTAAGATTAGTCTTCCTAGGAAACAACTTGACAAAATCAACCCTAATACTATGACTTAATAATAAGATGAACCAGATACAGAAACGATTTACTTATAAAAATATTCATCAAGATGCTGTTAATATTTAAAAGAGGCAAAACTTGAATTTTATAGTTATACAGTAAAATTCTAAGTAACCATAAATATTGCTTTCTGAAGTAATTTTACTACCAGAGGAAAATTCTATGATACACTACAAGTGAAATAAGGTTATAAATCATGACCTGTAGAATACAGAAAGAGAGAGAGAGACTGGAAGATCAAACCTATAACCAGTAAATGTAATATAAGTAAACACAAACTGGTGGGCTTTTTCTTTTCTGTATCAGTGCATGCAATTATTCTCTACAAGAAACACATGATACTTATGCAATAGTTTAAAATGCCTTAAGAACTACATTATAATGCCCTAGGTAAAATAGTAATAATAATTTGAGAAATATTTTTAAAAGAATGGCTATTGCTTAAGGATCTCAACATTTGGGATTGAACACCCTAGGAACCACCACATTCAGAGAAGAGTAAAGGGAAGAAACCACGAACAAAACGAAAGCCTACTTATTTCTTTGGGTTTTCACAAGTAGGGATCACCAAGATGATATGGGACTTGTACTGTTGCCACTAAGCGCTAATTTTGGTTGAGTCACTCATGTCTGGCATATAGTAAAGCATTTGGTATTTATTATATATATTATTATATATATATGATATTATTCAATCCCAAGACAATCTTATGAGTATGTCACATGATCATCTTGGCAGACAGGGAAGTTGTGGCTCCAGAGGCTAAAGGACTTACCAAAGTCCCCTAAACTGGGAGGCAGAGCAGTTCAGCCCTGAATAGAGATGGTCAAGTTTCTAGTCCTTACTGTTAATGCATTTGCTCTACAGAGAGGGAATCCATGAAACAGGTAAAGCTGTATTCTGCATTTCTCTTTCATCTCCCTTAGCACCACCTGTAAGAAGCTCAATGAGGAGAAATGAATCTTGAGCCCTGTAATCCATTCATATACCTCACCTTTACGCTCCCATGTGCCTTATAGCAACGGTGCGACAATGCTGGGAATCTAGGGCTTAGGAAATCTATGCATTCAGTTCTTCCTCTTACCATTTTATGTCTAACTTCTCTTTCTTGTTTAGCTCTGCAGCTAGAAGACAATAAAATGAGCAATGGAGCCACTGTATGAGGAGTATCTAACACATGGTGGAACCATTGTCAAACCTTATTACTGGCTAAGCTTCTCTCTAGATTGCACTAACTGCCCTTACCACATTCGGACAGGAGAAGAAGCAAGAGTTCCCTACACAGAATTTCAGCAGATTTTTGGATTCCCATGGTCAACATACCCTCAAGCAAAACACCTCACATTTTATGAGCTGAGAAGTTCCTTTGGGAACCTGATACAAAAGGGTCATGCTAGCAAGTGCACTGGGAATCACAAACACCCAGAATCAATGCTATTTGAGAGGAACGGCTACCTTGACTCAGTCATATCTCATAACAGCAACATCAGACATGTCATTCTGTATTCCAGCCACTCCCCTTGTAATGAGGCTAACCACTGCTGCATCAGAAAAATGTACAACTTCCTGATGATGTGTCCAGATGTCACTCTTAGTATTTTCTTCTCTCAGCTCTATCATACCGAGAACCAATTTCCTACCGCGACATGGAACCGTGAGGCTCTTCGGAGCCTGGCCAGCTTATGGCCTCAGGTCACTTTGAGTCCAATAAGCGGTGGCATTTGGCATTCTATTCTCGACAATTTTGTTAGTGGTGTCTCGGGATCAACAGTTCTCCAGCCTTTCACAGCTGGGAGAATACTGGCTGACAGATACAATGCTTACGAAATAGACTCCATAACAGGAGTCAAGCCTTATTTTATCGATGTTCTTCAGAGCCAGCGAAAAGAGAATCAGAACAGAAAAGTTCAGGCAGCTTTTGAAAATCACCCCTTAAACAATGCTTATCCTGGACAGCCCTTCCTGCGCCAGGACCCCAGGACTCCTGTTCTTTTCATGCTGGTACCTTACAGGGATCTACCGCCGATCCATGTGGGTCAAAACGCACAGAAACCCAGGAATGTGCCAAGACACTTGGATATGCCTCGACTGTCATCAGTTGAGGTCAAAGACCTTAGAAAACCCTCCCTTGGCCAGGCCAGTGGAGGTGCTGGAAGCCACAAACGGGTCTGGAAGCAACAAAGAGGAAAATGAAGAGAACAAAAAGAAATGGAAGAAATAAACTTTGTTATCAAGCCAAACATTTGCTAAAGGGTTTAGTAGACAGATAAAAAATTTGGACATTCTCCCTTCTAGGTCTAACTGAGATGGGGATAAACTGATGTAATAAAAGTAAAACACCTGATTAGCTAGTGTAATAATTACTATAAGGATACTATTTTAACATAGTCCAAAATGTTGACATAAGCAACTTTGTCTCTTTCTGGAAGTAAAAGTAACAAAATAAATGCTTTTATATTATTATTCTATTATGTGTATGTATATGATTATTTTGCCTTAATGTATGTCTTACATCATGTAGTGTCCTTGGAGACCAGAAGAGGACATCAGATCCTAAGACTGGAGTTACAGGTGGTTGTAAGCTGCTATGTGAGTGCTGGGAAGTGAACCATCAGTGCTGTTAACTGCTGAGTCCTCTTCCCAGCCCCAAAATAAATGTTTTGAGGCAGAAAAGGAGTGTCTCTACTCTAGCCAACCCATATCATCCTTAAAAAAAGGATATGGACAAAATAACTTCCTGAACTGGTTTCAGCATAAAAATACTCTATAAAATTAGAGGGTACCCAATGTTGCCGACATCAAATGCTGTGTTGGGGTCAAACAGTGATTTTCCATTGATTGTTGATGTGGTCAGAAGATTTTTAGGCAGCCCATAATTTTCTAAAGTGATTCAAAATTGTTTTGTGTGAGTAAAAGCTCTTCTACAAATTGATTACATATTGCTACAAAAACTGATTTTTTTTAAACCTAGCCAGTTATTCAGTTTGATCTTTCTGACTCAGAGCTCTCCCTCCTAAGATTATAAAGCAAGGTGATGTGTGAGAGTCGCCACAGACGACCTCCATCATGTACCACAACAAACTCCACACCACTCTTGATGACTCCTAAGGTTATTTCCTTAGCTCATCAAGATAGCAATTTCCTAGCTTGGAGGGATGGCTCAGCCGTTAAAGGCTAGGCTCACAACCAAAAATATAAGATAGCAATTTCCTGTAGGGTGCTCTAAATCGATCAAGTTCTCTCTCTCTCTCTCTCTTTCTCTGTCTCCTTCTCCCTGGTGTGGGGTTCCCCTCTGTTTGATATGATTATGTTTTATTACCACTGGTTAATAAATAAGCTGCTTTGGCCTATGGCAGGGAAGAACGGAAGTAGGCAGGGGAGGGGGCGGTGTAGAGAACTAAACTGAATTCAGGAATAAAGAAGGTGGTGTCAGGGTGACACCATGTAGCTGCCAAAGGAGAAAGAAACCAAGACTTACCAATAGGCCACAACCTAGTGGTGATACATAGAGCAATAGAAATGGGTTAATTTAAGATGTAAGAGCTAGCTAGGAATATGCTTAAGCTATTGGCCAAAAAGTATTGCAATTAATATAGGTTTTGTGTGATTATCTGGGTCTGGGTGGCCCAGAAGTAAAAGCGCAGTCTCAATCTCCATCTCCCTCCCTCCTTCCCTTTCTCACCCTCCCTCTCTCCTTCCCTCTCACCCTTTCTCCCACCTTCTCTTTCTTCTCTTTCTCCTGTGATATATAACATAATATCCACTCAAAATGTAGGTAGCACAGCTGACTCTCCATCTCAATAAATTCACCAATCATTTATTCCACAACATCCCTTATCCACTCCGAACGGGTGCCTGCTGAGCCACCCACCCTCCATGGGATGGCTTTGGTTGTATGTTACTATTATCCCTCTTCTATTAAAGCTCCCCAATGCAAAATGTAAGTACATTCCTTTTCTTTTTTCTGACCTCTTCTTCGCCAATATATATTTGTACCTTCTCTTAAATTCTTCAAAACGTGCTTCTTTTAAGAACTTTTCTTTGATTAACCCTTTGAGCCACTTAAATAAAATCACTTGCTTATTAAAATCCACATTTGCTGCTCCATTTCTCCCATGGAAATATGTAAATACATACTATAGAAAAAGTGGATTCAAATGCAAATTTCTATTACATTTTTATGTATAGAGTTAAGACTGACTCTATAAAATGTCTATATAAAGTCATGCTACCCTAATAAGGTAATATGCTAATATTAACATTAAATCCCATAACATTGCATGAGGAGGAAAGAGGAGATAAGAAAGAAAAAAAATGTCTTAGGAATAGAAATTTAAATTGTGATTAAAATAAACATGAATAAATTTTTAAAAAATTATATATTTAGCCTGCAGATTTTGATCAAGGTAATTGAATATAATTTTACTATAAGTATACAGTGATTATTATTTAAAAATGTGTTGACATTTATCATTAAATTATGAAATCCTATGTTCACAAATTGGAATGTTATGTTTGAGGGAAAAAGACACCAACATAACAAATTTGGCATTTCTGATTATTATAAGAATAGCGCCAGGGGCTGAGAGTCTACTTCCATAGCATATGCCTAACACTACAAGACCCTGAATTTGATTCACTAGAACCTCTTCTGCCAAATTAAAAAGATAAAATCACTGCCATAAAACCAACCTTCGAAGTGGTGAAGCAGACCACAACATCCATCAGGTTACTGAGTGTCTGGAATCTAGGAACTTGAGTTTCAAATATGAATGTGGATTTCTATGGTGTATAACAAGAGGAAATGTTGACAGAACTAGAAGAGAAGTGCCCTTGACCATTACATTTTCTTACTAATTAGATAAACGTGCGTCTTGCGGTTTTTACTGCTGTGAAGAGACACCATAACCACAGCAACTCTTAGAAAAGGAAACATTGCACTGAAGTGCTTCACAGTTTCAGAGCTTTAGTTCAGTATCATCATGGCGGGAGCATGGCAGAGTGCAGGCAGATGCGGTGCTAGCTACATCTTGACCAGAAGGCAGAAGGAAGTCTATTCACACTGAGCATAGGAAACCTCATGGCCCACCTGACAGTGGCACGCTTCCTCCAACAATGCCATACCCACTCCACCAAAAAGCCACACCTCCTAACAGTACTGTTCCCTGAGATTATGGGGTCCAGTTATTTAAACAACCACAGCCTTATGAATGACAGGCCACAAGTCCAAACCAATATGATAAAGCCTCAGAGAAGAAAATGGATGCCCTTAGACACATGTGGGCTACAAAGTGAGACCTTTCAAAACAGAAAACTGGGGCTGGAGAGATGGCTCAGCAGTTAAGAGCATTGCCTGCTCTTCCAAAGGTCCTGAGTTCAATTCCCAGCAACCACATGGTGGCTCACAACCATCTGTAATAAGGTCTGGTGCCCTCTTCTGGCCTGCAGGAATACACGCAGACAGAATATTGTATACATAATAAATAAATAAATATTTTTAAAAAAAAAAACAGAAAACTAAGTGATCCTTTACCTATAAGAGCAGGAGTAAGCGCAGGGATGATCTTGAACTCCTGATCTCCCACCTCTACCTCCCAAGCACTGGGATTAAGATATGCACCACCACGCCCCAATTTATCAGGTATTCAGGGTTGAATCAGGGCCTTGTGCTTGCTAGGCAAGCATTCTCTGACTTTAAGAAAACATACAGCGAGGCAACCTTTCCAAAGAGTGGACTCCACACAGTGCCATGTCTCACTCACTCACCACACAGTGGGTTCCTGGACATGCATGGCTGGCCCTGAGATGGAGAGAGGGGGTTTAGATGGTCGGGCTCTCTTCAGAAAAAATGGCAATGGTGATTTTTTAAAATATCCCTACCAGTCAGGCATGGTGACTCAAGAGGCAGAGGCAGGTGGATCTTTGTGAGGTCAAGGTCAGCCTGGTCTACACAGAGAGTTCTAGCATAGCCAGGGCTACATAGACTCTGTCCCAGAAAAAAAAAAATACATCACTTCCACCAAATATTCCAAATAAATAAAATATAAGTCAACATATTAAATCAGTGACACATCTGAAAAAGGACATGGGTTGTGACCCAAGAAACCAGTAATGGTGAATGGAAAGACTCTACCTTCAGTCTGGTTCAGAGTCTGACCCTCAGCTCTGGAGGCCCAAATTACCTATGCAATCAATACACAAAGAATAGATTTAGGTTGGGGGTCAACAGACTTACAAAGCTCCCAAGAGAAAGACAGCTGATAAATTGATTTCCAGTGGGATTGACATCTGGATATACACACAATTAAATCACAGTCTTCCCTTGTCTATTTATTATAATCAGAAGCTTGCTGGATTTGAATGAGAATTCAAGCAGTTGATTGCATGAGTTAAATGTCTGTGCTATCTGATTCTGCACTCATATGAAAAAAGGCATCTGTCCTTTGGGATGAAATTATAAGGTATGTGGAAGAGCAGCTGTCTTCTGAGTATTTTGGGTAGATAAGGCCTGTGAGAGACAACACAAAGTCTGTAGCCAACTCCTGTGTGTCAAGCATATTGATTTTCTATTGACATTTGTTGATGATGATGTTATTTGAGACAAGTTCTCACTCTGTGACCCAGGCTGTCCTAGTAGTGACTGTGTAGCCCAGGCTGGCATCCAGCTCAAGGCAATCTTCCTGCATCAGCCTCCTGAACGTGATATTACAGGTATGAGGTACCACACCCAGTTTTTTTAATATTCAATAAGTTTTATCAAGTTACAGCCTAACCCTACTGACCTCATCTGAGAGTAAATCTTATTTCTTTACATTTCTGCTACATACCTTGACTTCAAGTGGGTGCATATGAGCCTCAGCCTTTAACAAGTGAGCTATCTTCCTAGACCTCTGCTATGCATCTTTTTTGACTCAGTACATACAGTATAGAGTGTAATCCTATTCATCTCATTTCCAAGGCTCTAAGGACAGTCACATAGTAACTCACAGTAATTAATACTATTACTATCGAACATTTACTGAGAATTGTATGTCAGGTATTTTAAGCACTTACATATTAACTCATTCTGTTGCGGGAGGTCCTTCCGCTCCTCCAGCCTATAGCCACTGAGATACCAGCCCACTGGGGCGTGGTCTCTCTCCCTTTAAAAAAGCGGCCACTTCCCTCTCCTCTCTCTCTTCACCTCTCTCTCT